AAAACTTGTGGAAAAACGAAAAGGGTAAATATTATGTAAAACTCACCGTTAGCGTCGTTTTGGGGGGGTCACATTGCATCTAAAAACACTCGAAACATAAAAACAACAATTCGTCTGTGTTTTGTCATTGTTTCAGTTTTAGGAATGTTTTGCTTAAACAAGCTGTTTAAAAAAAAACCTGATTGTGACATCACAAACAATGGAACAGTTACAACAGAACCAACTCTCAGGTGCAAGAGAGAGGGAGCATGCTGGAAGAGCAGTGGTTCTATTCGAAACCCCTCCCAGATATCAGATCGGGGGGGGGGGGGGGGGGGTGGCCAGCTCCAGCTCATTTTCTTAAAGTGACAGAGCCCTGAAATGATCAATTCTGGAAGATACTGAAAGTATCAAGAATGAAGCTGCTGAAAGCATTTTACGTGAGAGGGATTTTGTGCTGAGAACTTCATGATCATGTTTGGTATAAACCATAGAACTATTACAACTTAAAGGAGCAATATGTAAGAATACAGATAAGTAATCACTGAACAGTGTAATGTCTCAATCATGACACGTTGGGGTGTCCCACAAGGTTCAATTCTCGGCCCGTTACTGTTCAACGTCTATATACTGCCCTTAGGAGCCATTTTCAGAAAGCACGCTGTCTCATACCATCTTTACGCTGACGACTGTCAAATCTACTTTTCATTTAAGCCAACTCAGTCAACGCAAGTTCTGTCTGATTGTATCCTTGAGGTCAAGCAATGGCTAGCTGACAACTTCCTCCATCTCAATGACTCCAAAACTGACTTAATCGTTTTCAGTCCTAACAGTATCACGGCAACTCAACAACCTGACCTCAACTATCTCTCACCTAATGTATCCTCTGTAATCTCCAACCTTGGAGTAAAAATGGACCAGGCTCTGAAGATGGATGCCCAGGTCAATAACACAGTTAAATCATGTTTTTACCAACTAAGACGCATCTCAAAACTAAAGCACATCCTGAGTGTATGTCTTCTGAAATCGGTGGTCCACACTTTTATCACCTCAAGGCTGGATTACTCCAACTCCTGCTTATATGGCATCAGTAAAGCAGCTCTCTCTAGACTTCAGCTGGTCCAGAATTCAGCAGCTAGGTTGCTGACTGGAGCTGACAGAAGACAACACATTTCTCCAATTCTGAAATCTCTCCACTGGTTGCCCGTGCAGTTCAGGATAAACTTCAAAATTATGCTTCTCACTTACAAATCCTTGAACCATCAAGCTCCTCTATATCTGTGTGAACTGGTCCATTACTACAACCCGCCGCGTGCTCTCAGGTCTGAAGATAAGCTCCTCCTAGCTGTTCCCAATACACGTTTAAAAAGCCGTGGAGAGAGGGCTTTCTCTGTCTGTGCACCGAAGCTGCGGAACGCATTACCACTGCTAGTGAGGCTAGCACCAACAGCTAGCATTTTTAAATCACGCCTGAAAACTCACTACTTCAACCTAGCTTATACAACATAATTATGAACCTCACTGACATCTGCACTGTTTATAAACTGACTCCACAACTATCGACTTCCGTATTATTGAGGTTCTTTGTAAAATGTTTTTTTTTTCCTATTTTTAATTCACCCTGTGTCTTAATGATTTTTAGCTGTTATCTTTGGGAATTTTGTTGTATTTCCTTTTTATCTTTTATCTGTGTTCGACATGTTTATATAACGCCTGTTTAATTAACCAACATTTTTAGTGTACAGCGCCTTGTTTGGTTGTAATGCCTTGTGAATGCGCTTTATAAATAAAATTGGATTGGATTGGATTGGATGAAGAAAGGTTACAATGAAACGCATTTCATTCTCAGTTGGATGGGTTTTGCCTTTAAAACCAACATTAAAAGCCCAAAACCAACAAAAAGTCTTCGGTGCACAAATTGCAAGAACTAAAAATGGGACAGTGCCTCTTTTTAAAATAAAAATTATACTTTTTTCATAAACTACATTTTCAAAATATTTTCTCTAAATTATTCTTTTTGAAGTTGATTAGAAGATGAGTGATGCCCTTTTAATTAGAGTTTAAATGCACTTATCGAGAGCCCATTCACAAACAAAACATACACTGGTGTGCTAACAAGGGCTGCATTCCAAATCTAGTGCTGACAAAACTGATTGCTCTGCAGAACATGAGCGAAAGGTACAATTCCCTTTAGGTGGAACACACAGGTAAAACATCTATGAAAAAGGAAAAAGTAAAGAACAAAAATGTTTTTCTCTCCACTAAATAATGACACCTTTTTAATCAGACCCATTTCTTTTAGTGAGGATGTTAACCATCCAAAAATGTAAACGTAATGTTTTAAACAGAATTAAACAATAATTCAAAACTAAGGCACTAAAAAGGACAGAAAAAAGATTATTTGCTTGCTGAGATTATTGATCATTCTCCTTTAGGTTTTACTTTGATGAAAATAGAATAGTGTCTGCACATACGTAAATGCAAATTTTGAATAACAGAAACGTTCCAACAGGCTTCTCCCATTCACAGCTCCCAGTGTAGAGCCAGATCAGAGCCCATGATGAGTATGGGCAAAACTAATGAGGCGCAGCAGAGTGAACCTCAGATGTCCACCGGGGCACCAATGAGGACAGTTATGAGGACACAGGTGCTGCAGAGTCTACAGATACAGAAAATCACTGCTGAAAGCCGCTGCTGATTGTTGTTTTTGTCCTCTGCATAAACGCTCGTTCACTATACTAAGGTTGCACATGTGTAATTAATGTGCATAGAAATGAGTTTGGCTTATGAGTTTATGTGTGCATCTGTTAGAGGAGCAAGGTGGGACCAAATGTTTCAAACAGTAATGATCAGTGTTTCATTTGCTGTTTGTCAAATTGGTTCCAGACTGAATGTCACTCGGGAAACAACGACCCCGGCTGCTCTGTTGTAACATATGGATCTCAAAGGTTCCTAAATCAGCTGTTACACCGGATGAGTAAAATGATGAGCCACAATTACAACACCATGCTCAGTTTAAGTGCTGCAGCACTCTAGGAATGGGCCACAGACAGAGAGGTTAATTATTCACAATATGCATAAAAAAATCCAGAGCCGCACCTTGAAACCAGGTGTAAATAATATATATTGATTAGCATCAACTGAAAAGGTCCTTGTAGTTATTATTTGGTCCCTACATATGCTGAAGCAATCAATCCATCCATCCATCCATCCATCTAGTTTCTAACATAAGGATAAGGATGGGTCACGAAGGGAACAGGAGAAACCCAGACTACACTCTCCCTTTAAGCCCAGTTCACATGGCAGGATTTTTAAGCCAAGCCAACTTTATTTATGAAGCACTTTAAAAATGGCCAAAACTGAACAAAGTTCTGAACGCCAGAGCATAAAATCATTTAACAAGATAAAACAATAAAAGTGCAACTAAAGTCAAAACAACACTAAAACATGACAAGGTAAAAAACAACGATTTAAAAGTTTCTAACAAGTAGCCTTTGTAATAATAGCCAGCATAGAATTCCAGAGATTGGGACCAGTTAGGAGTGTGCTTTTATCATCTTGCTTTCTGACTGGCTAATCATCACATTCGACAGGCAACACACTCCATTGTCCCCAAAACACAGACCAAGACAATCCAATACACTTGACAGCTCTGATTTATGATTGGAAGGGTACCGGCGTCTTACTGAGCAGGCCAGAGCGGTTATAGCACACTACACATGGTAGGATAATCTGACAAGATTATCTTAAGAGCTGTTATGGCATTTGTGCACAACTTTAAGATTGGGGGAGATGCCAGGAATTGTCCTGGTGCTCCCGATGGCCAGTCCGTGACCAAAAATGTTATCAGTTATTTTTTTTATAACCACATGTGTGGTCTCTCATGCATTGAAAATTGCCAGTTTCAATATGTGTGAACCGGGCTTTAGCCACCTTGGCTGACTCTTCGATGGGAAGGAAAAGCAGCTCTACTTCCAAATAATGTAATGCCTCCTGACCTAACCCTAACTAGTAATGATACATTAATATTTTATTTAGTCTAATATCTCCATATCTTTCACGTCACAAGCATGCCAAACAATAAGAGAAATTTGTTGTTTCAACCAGGAGACCAGGGTTCAATTCATCCCACTCAAACATCAGGCGCTAACCTATGCATTAGCATACTGTGCTCTAAAAAAACTATTTTTGTCTATGTTTTAGTCAAGAATCTAACCTCAATTACATTTTTTGACACAGTTGTACTCAGTTATTTTATGGTTCATTTCAATTCAGTTTATTTATATAGCTTCAAATCATGACAAGAGTTGTCTCAAGGCACTTCACAAAGTAAACATTCCAATACAGGTCAGTTCATTAAGTCAATCAGTAAAAGTTGCCTATATAAGGAACCCAGCAAAATGCATTGAGTCACTGACTGGTGTCAGTGTCTTTATGGCAATCCTCATATCAAGCAAGCATGCAGCTGAGTCTAAGATCAAAAGGTTTATGGACATATCTGGAAATGGACCATAGTTTAGTTCCATAGATACTTTTTTGACAGCAACAATGCAATTACCAATTCATCACTCACTCAATTTTGAGTCTGTATTCTGGATCTTGATTATTTAAGTAAACTTGATATCGGCCTCAAAAGTAGTAGATTACTTTAGAAAAAGGTAACGACCAGTGCTCCTGCCAGACCAGCTTTTTCTCAGTTCTCAGTGAAGCTGTTGTAGGTGTTCACTCACTGCAGGTCATGCTGGCACTGTTTACTGATGGATCGCAACCCACACACACACACACACACACACACACACACACACACACACACACACACACACACACACACACGCACACGCACGCACGCACGCACGCACACACACACACACACACACACATGCATGCACACACACACACACACACACACACACACACACACACACACACATGAACACATACATAGCGGTAGTAGTTCTGTGCATAGACCATCCCACACTCCTTTAACAGTGCCTTTCCCACAGAGCCGGCAGTCAGGAGGAATATGGGCAAATCCGAAAGCCAAATGGATATCATGGAGAAAACTAGCAAACCAGGAAAACGTCGCTGGACTGTTGCAGAAATCAGTCTGTCTGTCCTGCTGCTGTTGGTCAGCTGTGCCTTGTCGGGCTGGTTGTCCTCTACACATCAGCTGTGAAAGGTGATGACTCGGACCTGTGAGCATGACAACAGTCACCAATCACACTCAGAATAAGCTCATCAAAACTTTTACCGGTATATCCACATCTGTAGTCATGCAGAGGGTTTGAGGAAATAGAAACTTTATTCTGGTGTCTTTAATGAGTTTTATGGGTGACGACGTGTTTCATGTTGTTTTAAACTAGTTTCTTTTTTTTAAAATTCAGAACAATCAAACAGGCCAAGCATGTCCAGAAGCTCGACAGGTGATGGTGAGTCTAAACACACAGAGTCCCTAAAGGGACATTCATGAGAAAATTTATTACAATCCTAATACAATACAATCTAGTGGGCACGACAAAAAATCTGGCGCACACAAAGTACTATCTGGCGCGCTCGCAAAAGTTTCTGGTGGGAACAAGATATCAGCCTATCTGACGTGTGCGCGACACTATCTTATGGGCGCAAGAGTATATTGTAAGGTATTATCTCATGCCTACCAGATAGTATCTTTGGTGTAAATGGTAAATGGCCTGTATTTGATATAACACCTTCTAGAGTCCTGGAACCCCCCAAGGTGCTTTACAACACAATCAGTCATTCACCCATTCACACACCCGTTCACACCCTGGTGGTGATGAGCTGCATTGTAGCCACAGCTGCCCTGGGGCGCACTGACAGGGAAAATGTGTACTACATTTTATGGCACAAGCTATAACTGCTGTGCACGGGATACCTTACTATCTGATGCACTTAAGATGCTATCTAGTGAGCAAGAGCTACAACTTGGTGCACGTGATAGAATATCTGATAACTGGTGCACACAAGATGGTTTAATATCTGGTGCACATAAGATATTTGGTGTGCACAGAAAAGTATCTGTGTGCAAGAGAAACTATCTAGTAGATACATGATATTTACTCATGGACACACGTTTCTGGTAGGCATGAGATGATAGCCTATCAGGTGCAAATACAATGCAATCTCATTGACATGATATCTGGTGTGTATGAAATAGTATCTCTGCGAAAGTTTCTGGTGCGCGCAAGAAACCTTTTTTTCTTACCAATGTCCTTTTAGGGTCTAGTGAATGATTTTCCTGCTTGATCTACTGTTTAAGTTACACAACAGCATCTCAGCTGTGTCAGCTGGACTCTAATTTACTTGTCACTGGTTGTTCCAGGACAGCTGTCTTGCTCCAGTGCCAACAATGTATGTACAACATCTGACTGTGTGACTGCAGGTAAGATGAACTTATTTCCACCCTCCTCTCTTGTGAACTCCATGTGCTGAGCCACATGTGAAGCTGTTTTTCCATCCTTTCTCTTGTGATGCCTCACAGCTGCTCGGCTCTTGCAGAACATGGATAAATCCATAAATCCTTGTGATAATTTCTATCAGTACGCCTGCGGGGGCTGGCTGGAGAGACATGTCATCCCGGAGACAAGCTCCCGTCACAGTGTCTTTGACATTCTGAGGGACAAGCTGGAGATTGTCCTCAAAGGTCAGCAGTGCCCGACCTTTGGTGCTCAGTGGGCTACAGTATTTGGAGCAGCTTGTGGGCTTCATTCACACCGGAAAGGCTTGCAAATGTGATGTTGTTGCAGGTGTTCTTGAGACGGCGAGAGAACAGGACAGGGATGCCATCAAGAAGGCGAAAGTCCTCTATGGCTCCTGCATAAATGAAAGTGAGGCTCTCTTACCATAACCTAAGCAATGGTGTTTTTTTCTACAAATGTCTAAACTTCCTTTAGTTGTCAGGATATTTTAATTTGAAGTAAAATTCAATGGTTTCTCAAAGTGTCAGGATTTTTTTTTTATATTTTAAATTTATGAATGAATAATGTAATCTGTATTCTTTTAAAGCCATCAAATGATGATGATGATGATGATGATGATGATGATGATGATGATGTGCTTTTTGCAACCAAAGAAAGCTGAACAACAGTTAGACTCACTTTGAAATATTTTTTTGTGTCCTGATTACGGTCAAGTGTAAAATCGTGATGATACACCTTTGGGAATTCCAGGCAAAACAAACAAAATGGCAACACCACCTCAAGTTTTTAATCCAGTACAATTCAGTGTATTTATATAGCTCCAAATCGCGACGAGAGTGGTCTCAAGGCACTTCACTAAGTAAGCATCCCAGCTGAGTTCTGTTTATCGTGCCAAATTAGTTCTACATTTCCTAATTAAGGAACCCAGCTGATTGCATCAAGACTCTTTACAGTTTGGTGTGTGAGAAAAAAAAATGGTGTCAAGTAACAAAATATAAATACTTCATCATCCTACCTGAGCAAAAATGTTGGGTATCTATAAATCACTATAGTAATTATATTCAAGTTTTTCAATTCAAGTTTATTTATATAGCGCCAAATCACGACAAGAGTGTTCACGTGACCTATTAACTGATGTTTTACTTCTACTCCTTACATAAAAAAATGCCTTGTTACTATTTTATTTTGACTTGCCATTGTTTAAAAAATTCCAAAGGCAAAGTGTAAATCCAGATTAATTACAACATCTGGACACAGTGAACATGATTGTGAATAGATAATTTTATTAACTTTTAACTTTCATACTTTTAGTAGTTTTAAACCAGTGCTCTGGAGTTTTATTTGAAGAAAACCTTCAACGGATACTTCAACTTCTACAGATAACGTTTCTTTTGAGATTAGCCTACCTTTGACACCTCTGGAGAAACAACAAGCCACGAGTATGGCTGGATTATGAAAGGCAATATTAAAAATCTTGAGTCATCGTAAACTAAAACCATAATTAACTGAAAGATCACTAATTATAACAGGAGAGAGACAGAAGTTCAACCAGTAAAATGCAATTTATGCAAATAAAAATGAAATTAGAAGAATTTAAACCTAAAAAAACCAAGAAACCCAAATATCACTATTTTGCATAATATTGATTAAAATGGGCCTTTTCTGTTTTATCAGTATTCTCATGTGACTAATGATGCAACAGTGTATTGTCTCTGACTGCAAAAAATACTTAAAGGGGAATACAGGCTCCTGTACGGACAATAAAAGACAATTAAATCTGTTTTTCTAAAGATTCTCCCCATTGATTTTGAACTGAAAAGCCATTTTCACTTGTTATTTTGAAAATTTGAGTTTCACATGCAGGCTGAATGTGAAACTAGTCTTCTACACATATTTCCTGCATTTGCTGCTGGTAGACAATGGACGGGGAAATATTCAGACTAAAACGTCACATTGCAAAATTAGAATTTATACATTCACCCATCTAGGCTAGTGGAAGCTAACTGTTAGCTTTAGCTACTCTACAGCATGGCAGAACCCCTTCACTACAGGTTTGTGCTACTTGCAGAGATAATACATCCACATTGCAGAGAGAAAGGAGTGAGTGGAAGAGCTGCTGTTAGCCAAGAAGAGGTGATATGTTAGAATATCAGGAAATAACAATTAATCCAAGTAGCTGTGTTTTGCTCCCCTCTGCCCTGGCTGCGTCTACCTCCTGAAACAGGAGTGCATGAGCTTTGTTCCACAGAGATCGACTCACAAGCTTATAGTACTTATAATAGAGACCACAGTAAATGTCTCAATTGAACGAGTGAACTTGGTCTTTAAGATTCACGTTGAATGAACATCACTGAGATAGTGGAAGTGTCTTATGTACATTGTGTTGGATCCACACAGGCCTCATCGAACAGCGTGACTCGCAGCCCCTGCTGAAGCTCATTGACAGTATTGGCGGCTGGCCTGTGGCTTCAGAGGACTGGAACGCCACAGCAGGTTGGAAGATTTTCTCTCTAACACTTTCTGTCTCCTACACAAACTGGCATCCATGCAGCGTTCCTCTTCGAACCCATGCATTCACACAGGGCTCGTGGAGCTATATTTGCACTCAGTGAACCACCGAGCACAAGCTTTGTTGGTGGGATCAAGAGGCCCGGCGAGGCTTTTCAGCTGAGCAGTCAGGTGTGGGGTTTAGGAGGGCGGTGGTGCGTGGGCAGAGGAGCAGGTCCTCAATCAGGACACTGAAGCATGCTTTAAATAGTCTGTGCTGCTCTTCCTCATGCTCCAGGCTCTTGCCACTTTAATTAAATGTAATCATGGATGGTGGCTCAAATAGAATTAACCATGCATAGCTGCATCTGCACACACAGATTTACATCGCACAGGCAGATTCAGGAGCACTAACTTAACCAGTTCATCATGCCCGTTTTTCAACGGGGATCTCATTATTCTGTCATTTCAGAGGAAGAGTGGAGCCTTGAGGACACTCTGGCCATGCTTACAGCTCGTTTCAACAAGAAGGCTGTTCTGGACATGTACGTGTGGACAGACGACCGGGACTCTCAGAAGCACATCATATATGTAAGACATATGTTCAAACCATCATAAAAACATGTTAAACGAGGTTCTTTTAGCTTCGGACTTGAAGGTGTTTCGAGTTACCTTTACATGTTTCGACCGTCGTCTGCGGTCTTCATCAGAAATATCACAGGTGTTTGTGTGACGCGTCCTTATCAGCTGTTCTTCTGGTGGGTCACGCCCACCTCCACTGGCTGGTCTTTGGAGAAGGGAATCCCAGGTGTGAGACAGCTGATAGGCCCCCTCGTCTCTGTTCCTGTTCCAATGTTCACGTTTCCTTATTTCTATTGCCTCCCTGATCCAACGTTTGATCCAGTTATTCTCCGTGTTGATAATTTTCCCTTGATCCCAGTCCATGATGTGATTATTTCGTTTGCAATGATCTGAGATGGCTGACCTGAGGGTTTGCTCCTCTGCTTTTTTCTTTGTTGACCTTGTGGCTCTTTCTGTTGTTTCCTTCTCACATTCCTTCTGGTGCTCTTTTCTTCTTATGTCATATGTTCTGCCGGTTTTCCCTATGTATGTTTTATTGCATGACATGCATGGTATTTCATAGATTACATTGCATTTCTTGTCTGGTTCTATTATGTTCTTGGGGTGTACTAGTAGCTGTCTGAGTTTCATGTGAGGTTTGATGGCTGTGTTGATTTGTTGGTTTTTCATGGCCCTTTGTATACGTTCTGTGACTCCCCGGATAAATGGAATTGTGATGGTGTCTGTGTGCGTGTGGTCTGGTCTTTGTTTTTGTTTTCTTTTTTCGGTCCCTCTGTTTTTTGATTTTCTTTGACTTGTTGTTTTCCTTTTTCTATGGCCCATTTTGGATACTGACACAGGGTTAGTGCTTGCTTGATGTGTTCTTCTTCCTTCTTCCAAACCCTCAAGTCAGCCATCTCAGATCATTGCAAATGAAATAATCAGATCATGGAAAAATTATCAACACAGAGAACAACCGGTTCAAACGTTGGGTCAGGGAGGCAATAGAAATAAGGAAACGTGAACATTGGAACAGGAACAGAGACGAGGGGGCCTATCAGCTGTCTCGTACCTGGGATTCCCTTCTCCGAAGACCAGCCAGCGGAGGTGGGCGTGACCGACCTGGCAGATCTGACAGATCCGGGTTGGTCGCGCCCACCAGAAGAACAGCTGATAAAGACGTATCACACAAACACCTGTGACACTTCTGAAGAAGACTGCAGACGACGGTCGAAACATGTAAAGGTAACTAGAGACACCTCCATGTCTGAAGCAAAAAGAACCTCGTTTAATATTAAAAAGAGGACATAATGAACATTGTAAAGGACATAAAAACATACTTCAAGAAATTAAAATCAAAATATAGATTCAGGTTGCAAACATGTGCAAAGACTTAGCTTTGAGTTTTTATGCAGCTTTTTAAGCCTGACTAATGATTTTCCAGAAGATCTGTTCAACAAACGACAGAACCAAATCAAGCTTGAACATTACTAAATTATTATATATTATTCTAAATTGAAAAATAAAGGTGAACTAAAACCTGAAGTGTAAATGAGTTAAACGCAGAAACTTAATGACAACCCTGCAACACGATCATATCTCTGCAAAATTACAATAAAACAGTTAAGTTGATTTTCTGCTAAATTTAAAACATCTAAGAAACAAACCTAAGCGTGTAAAAATAATTTTAAAGAAATCTTCTGAGATGATAAACAGCTCAGACTGCAGCCAAAGGCTACAGCAGTCACCAGACTTGACGTGACCAAGGGGACTTTGAACATCGACTCCAGTTTAATTTTAAAGGTCATCTTTTACTTTTGAATTTACTCCACCACTCACATTCACACAGATATGTTTACTTTAGTTGTTTATTAAAATCTCACCTTTTAGACAAGATTACAAAGCGACCATGTCACAGATGTAAATATTAAAGGTGAAAATGTTTTTACTTTAAATGGTAAATGGCATCCATACGTTCACACACACCAATGATGAGCGTCTGAGTTCCAGCAGCAGGTAAGGAGGTTGAAGTGTCTTACCTAAGGACACAAGTGAAAAGGACAGAGCCTGGGTTTGATCCGGCAACCCACCGATTACAGGACAAACGCCTGAGCCCCAGTTTATAGTAATAAACTGTTCATTTCCCAGCAAGACTTATATGATTTACTTTGGTTTTATATGGGTACCAAAACAAAACATTGTGCACTGATAAGTAGTTCAACATTTGATATTTAAAATAAAATACAAAATATTAAGATTGTTATTAATTTCTTATTTAAATGCACCCAGGTGAAGGCCTCAGGATACAGTCAGGTGAACTTAAAATAATTTATTCATAAAAATAAATAAATAAATAAATAAATAAACAAAAGACAAGACAGGTAAGCAACCAGATAAAACAAAAGGATCCGACACGTGGCGCATGAACCAGGGGAACTTTTATACCGAGGGAAGTGATTCCAAAACAGGGACAGGTGAGCTGATTACTGTACCTAATCACTGACGTCAGAGCCGAGGGGAAAAACAACCAAAAGAAACATAAAAATGGGGCTATTTGAATGAAAAGTTTAACATCATTTCATTGTTGTTATCTTAATATGATTTTTATTATGATATAGTTCTCATTGCCATCAATGCACAAGATAAGTGTGGCTATTGTTAATGTGCAGAAGTTAAAAAACAAAAAATAACTTTGCACAAGTTAGGAGTCTGGCTCCTGAGTGCCACATTATAATACTGTATAATTTATATAATATTGTTCTTTATTGTGTGTGTGTGTGTGTGTGTGTGTGTGTGTGTGTGTGTGTGTGTGTGTGTGTGTGTGTGTGTGTGTGTGTGTGTGTGTTTAGATAGATCAGCCAGGACTCGGGATGCCATCTAGAGATTATTACTTTAACGATGGAAACTTTAAAAAGGTAACACCCAAATGTTTCACCAACTTGCTGAATAAAAACGAGACAGGATTTTTAAAATCACAAGCAGTGTAACTTTTTGATGGATTCATGTGATTGTACTTTAGGTTCGGGATGCCTATTTACAGTTCATGGTTTCTATTGCCAAAATCACAAGAGAAGACAGAAACCTAACTCAGGACGATGACAAGGTGTGGGAGGAGATGATGCAAGTGCTGGAGCTGGAGACAGACATCGCTAATGTGAGTCGCAGCCACAACAGGAAGTGGGGTTGTAGGATGGGGAGAAAATGAGTAACGACAAAATAAAAAGTAAGCGTCATTTTTCTGGTTCCAGTTAATAAAGATGACTTACTGTGAATCTGAGAATAATTGAAGTCTTCGACCATCTGTTGAGGCAGTGTTAATGAAAATAAAGAGCAAAATTTAAATAAAATTATGGATTTTATTTAAAAAAATATTATCTTTTTGTTGATGGACAGGCTACATCACCGGCAGAGGAGCGCCAAGATGTCACTGTTCTCTACAGCAAGATGACACTCGGTGAACTACAGAGTACTTTCAGCTTTAATGTAAGTCTGATTTCACTTTGATCTTATATTATTCATGTCGTCACACGAGAGATGAACAGAAGAAGGCGTAACATTAAACGTAACATTTACTGATTTTCATATTTAAATTTTTGTCATTTATTTTCATTAAAGGGAGAATTTTATGCAAAACTCAGATTTGTATCATTTGTGTAACCATGTTGGTCTCTACTGCCTCTATAAACACTCAAAACATGAAAAAACACCAATCTATCCACCTTTTGTTAGTATTAGTGTTATGTGCCTAAAAGAAGCCTTTTGTGACATCCCAAATGGGGAAATTCACATAGAACCACCTTCATGTGCAAAAGAGGTGTGCTGCTGGAGGAGCAGTGACCTACTGCCTCTGACAGAAAGTAGCTGAAGTTTACTCAAATGTCATCAGACGTCATCAATAGCTGTTGATGACTAGCCTAGTGAACTAGACCAAATTCTTGCTTCGCAAAGTTTGGTCTAGGCATGCTCCACTGGAACCTCTGCAGCTCCTACCAGGACTCTAGCTAGCCAATCACAACTCTCTAGAGGGGTTTCAAACACATAAAGAGCTGTGATTGGTCCATAATGGTGGGCCAATCACAGTGCTCTATCTGCTTAGTGAACAAATCACAGAGCTTTATCCGCTTTGTGGGCCAATCAGGTCACTCTATATGCCTGGTGGGTGGGATGATGCAGCAGAGTGAAACAAGAGTAAGTCACATTCATTGTCCAGTGGAATGCAGAGATCATTTGAAAGACAACGGTAGAACCCGCCCCACAACCGAGAGCCGTCAAATGAGTGCGTTTACATGCAGCCAGTAACCCTTTTAAAACCCGAATATTCACAATAGCCCGGTTCCGCAGGTCCATGTAAACACAGCCAAAAACCCGGATATGCTCATCACCGGGTTTTTAAAAACCCGGTTACTACACCTGGGGTAACCCTTTTCTAACCCGAATGTTTGGTCGTGTAAACGCATACCGGGATATCCCCATCAAAGCGTGTGTTCTGCGCATGCTCTGTTCGCAAGGAATCTTGGTCTTTTGAGTAGCGAGACGTCTTGTATGCGCCAGAACACCGGAAGTAAACAACAAGTTGGGAGCAACATGGCAAGTCGCGGCACAGCACCACACTTTTGGAGTGACGAGGAAACTTGTCGTCATCGGTCTGGTGAAAAGTATGAACATTATGTCTTTTGTTGATGGCCGAAAGTACAGAGACAGCGAAATATGACACATATTGCGTCTTGACGTAGTCCATACGTCCTGACGCTACCCCAACGTCCGCATTTAAATCGGGTTATGCAAGTTAGAGGTAACTCTTTCTATTTATGCTTGTAAACGGGTTATTCTGATCAACTCAGAAACCCGAATACCGACCTTAACCCGATCATAACCCGGATATTGGCTGCATGTAAACTTAGTCAATGAGCATGGCCAGACTAAATAATACATTTATTTAGTCTGGCTTGCCAGGCTAGTTGATGACATCATCACACCACATTGGCGTACATTTCCCCATCAACATCTAAAAAATTGTATTTTATTTTAGAATATATGCAGAACCCCTTAAGCTCCCAGGTCTCTAGAGGACCCGAGCTTGGAAGGATGGACCACCCACGGAGGGTGAGATGGTAATTTTTAAATTCCTAACCTCCAGTCCTCCAAACAGTTCTAAGACATAGCTCAGACCTGCGCTCCTCATTCTCACAGACACTCATTCATTTTTACACATTTACCAGCATTTTCTTGAACAGCAGCTTTTTCCCGTCATAGTTTCGCCACTTCTCCATTATTTTCTCTCCATCTCGATTGTGATAATAATGGCGCACACCTGTGCGCTGAGCAAAAAGGAGCGGGTGTCTCCTGACATAACCATCCCCGTGTCACTGAAGGAAATCCAGATGAGCCACAGAGCTGCGTGTGAACGGGTCAGTGGTTCAGACGTCTGCTGAATTTGTTATTTGCCAAATGCAAGCAGGGTCAAAGTGCCTGATGGCTGCAGACTCAGAGACTGCAGATTAATGCCTGCGCTGTCAGTAGAAGCGTATTGACCCTTTGCACCGACGTTACCTAATCACGTGAATCCACCATGGTGGACGGCAAAAGCATGTAAACAGTAAGCGACACGATTACTAAACAAAGGGAAAAGTAGAGCCTGAAATTGTTTTTGCGATCAAAACAAAAACAAAACTCCTCCAGCATTCCTTCAACTAGTTCATGTTCAGTTGTCAGAAGAAGTAGCGCATCAAGCCAGGGCTTACCAACGTTAGCTTACGTTCTCTGCAGCTGTTCACCGATGTAAACATGTTGCTGACTTTGCCTGAATTCACCCGTCTGGATTTATAACTTTATGTTGTAAACAGCGTTTCACTTTACACCAAAGCTGATTTTTAAAAAGTCCGGATCCCTACCAGCTTCTGTTGCTGGTGGTGTTACCGAGTTCAGCTGCTGCTCTCACACCGGAATGAGAAGATCTCTGAACGCAGATGCTCATATAAATAAATAACGTAATTTTAACACACGTAATCATATATCGGACCTTTAATATTGTTAATAATTGTCACGCTTTACACTACAGTGGATGGAGTGCAGCCTCCGTGGTGAAATACCCGTCCATCAGGATTATCAATAACTAGTATAAACACATCACATTTATCCCTGTCCCTGTCTTCCTCGTGAAATAAATTAACGTTAATCTTACCCGGTAAAAACATGTTCGCTGCAAATCTGAGGGCTGCTAGTCCGCTCGATTGATCGCTGCAGTTCACCTCCGCCCTCAGTCTCCATCAAAGTTAATAAAAAACAAAACGAGTTGAGTTTACGTCCTTGTCTGTTAGTGCAGCAAACCACGCAGCAAGCGAAAACCATTTTACTGTCAAATCAACTAAATAAAAGCAATAAAAGGCTACAAACTGGCTTGTTTTGACTACCTTCACTGGAGTTTCAACGGGTGTAAACGGTCTTTTTGCCGTCCTTCATGGCGAAGGGGGCGGTCACATGAGTGGCATGACGTCACGTGCAAAGGGTCAATATTGGCGGTCTCAGCTCTGCAGCTGTACCTTTCTCGTCGGTCCGGCAGAGAAAGGTTTACGATTGGTCAGTCGATGTAACGTGATCATGTTCATCCTCATGCACACGCTCCTTCCTTGCTCTTGGAAGAATGGTCCACAGCGAAACATGTTTTTTTTTTTTTTTGCTTATCTGCAGGGAATATCGACAATAAAGTTCTACAGACAGTAGCAAAGGGTCCTCACAAACCCCGCCAGGTTTGTCGCTAGGCACTTTTTGGAAAAAAGTTAAGAGTGGTCAAAAAGTCTATAGGAATAGCAACAAAATCGCTGAGTTGGTGGGTGTGGCCAACCACAGCTTGTTTTCTTAAAGTGACAGAGCCCTGATAAAGCTCATTCTGGCAGGTAATGAAAATGTTGAGAAAAAAGTGCTTTAAGTGAGAGGGAGTTTGTGTAAAGAAGTTCATGAACATCTTTTCATATTGAACTATTATAACTTAAGAAAAAAAGTCATAATATGTCCCCTTTAAATGAGAATGTTTTGGGGTCTTTCACTGAAAATACATGTGTGCATTTTCTCCAGGTTTCTGATTTTGCCTCCATACTAAAAACATGAAGGTCATTTCTAAAATGTTCATCTTTATGTGGCCTTGTGATCGACTTGTGACCTGTCCAGGTGCCTCTCCCCCTTTGACCTATGGAGTTAGGCCCCAGCTCCTCATGAAATATCTTGCAAGATCTGGGTACTGAAGCTATCTTGCTTCTGTTTGGCGTTAGGGTTAGACTGAAATCAGATCTTTGTGTTACAACCTAGTGAAAATAATTTTGTTCTCACTACTGACCAAAATACACAAAATACAATATTTGCTTTTGCCTTTTAGGATTTTAACTGGACCCGATTCATCCGAGGTGTGATGTCAAGTGTCTCCATCGATGTCCAGCTGGAGGAGGAGGTGGTGGTGTACAGCACTCCCTATCTAGAGAAGATGAATGACGTTCTGTCCAGACACAGTGTTCGGTGAGTCCAAGGAGACGCTATAAAACATGAATTATAGCAGAAAAGATGGTGAAGCATATTAATCTGCTCCTTTTTATTTCTACAGAACTATGCAGAACTACCTCACTTGGCAGCTCATTATTGACAGGGTTAATAGCTTGAGCCGGCGCTTCAAAGATGCCCGGGCCCGTTACCGAAAGGTACAAAGAGAAGAACAGTTTAAAACAAGTTAACATGAATCTGTGCTGGCATAACATAACCGTGTGTGTGTGTGTGTGTGTGTGTGTGTGTGTGTGTGTGTGTGTGTGTGTGTGTGTGTGTGTGTGTGTGTGTGTGTGTGTGTGTGTGTGTGTGTGTGTGTGTGTGTGTGTGTGAGAGATCAGGCTCTTTACGGAACTACTGTGGAGGATGCCTGGTGGCGAGACTGTGTCCGATATGTTCAGAGCAGTATGGAGAATGCAGTTGGAGCCTTGTATGTGCGTGAGACATTTGCAGGGGAGAGTAAACGAATGGTGAGTCCTCTTAGCCCGTAATGTCCAACTCTAATGATTTAAAATAGGGATGCACCGATACCGGTATCAGTATCGATAAAAGTTATCGATACCAATGCAGTTGCTTGAAAGCGGTTTCACTGCAACTTGTCATTTTTGTTCACCTAATATTTTAGTTCACACATTTTACCATTTTTCTACCTCAGTCTTTTCCTGTTGAAAGCAGAGAAGAAAATAAAACCTGTATTCCAATTCATAGCATTTTTTTTGTGTGTGGCAGAAATATCGGTATTGGTAATTGGTATCGGTATGGAAAAAAGTGGTATCGTTGAATCCCTAATTCAAAGACACAAGATTTATTTAAAAGCACAAAATGTGCCTTTGTTACAATAGGAATAAACACTAACGATGAAACCTTTTGAAGGATCTTACCCTGTTGATAGACATTCATAAACTTATGTCTGAAAACCCTCAAGGGGGTTTTGAACCTTGGCTTGTTGATGCTCCACACTTTAGAGAGGGCATCCAGATACACATGAACAAACTTTGAAAAACCATGCATGACATTTTCCTTTAAAAATGAAGAATTGGCATTCAGATCAAATTTAACAAAATAAACGACTTTTTTAATTCATCAGCTATTTTTAAACCCTTTTAAGGATGCCAGTAAACAAAACGTTAGCATTCAGTTTAACAGACTCCTCCTCAGTGTTTCCTCTTCATAAAGTGAATTACTTTTGTTTGTACTTCTTGTATGTGTGACTGTGAATACAGAGTTTTGTTATTTGTATCTGTGAAATATTCACAGGTGAGTGACCTGATTGGTAAAATCCAGAAAGCTTTTGTGGAAACGCTGGAGGAGCTGAGCTGGATGGATGCTTCCTCAAAGGAGAAGGCCAGAGAAAAGGTAACCAAACCAGAGACACTCGGACGATGGGTCTTCAGGTATTTCAAAAATATATTTACAGTAATTATTTTTTTACTTTTCAGGCAATGGCAATCAAGGAGCATATAGGCTATCCAGCTTACATACTGGAGGAAAAAAATCCTAAATTAGACCAGGAGTATGCTAATGTGAGTAAAAACTAAAGTCTGTTTTCAAACAGAGCCTTCTGGAGACAGCAAACTCAATACAATCCTGTCTCTCACCAGCTGAATTTCAGTGAAGAAAATTATTTTGAGAACATCCTGGAGAACCTGATGTCCGAAGCACACAAGAGTCTGAAGAAGCTCAGAGAGCCTGTGGATCCAGATCAGTGAGTCTGAAACAAGGACCTAAAAGTTGTTGTTGATAGTAAAGGTCAGGCTGATGATCACGGGGACGTTTTTGTGCCTTTGGCTAAAGTGTGTGATGCAGAGCAGAGAGATAAACCTCCCTCTTTTCTGCTGAATTTATGATCAAAGCAGATGGAGCTTAGCCAGAAATGGTGAACGTCATTCAACTGACTTTTTCATAACAATAAATGCAAAGAAGTATTTTAAGATCTCCTCTTTAAATCTCAGGTGGATCATTGGTGCTGCTGTAGTGAATGCTTTCTACTCACCAAACAGAAACCAGATAGGTAAGAATTTAAAAAAATAAATGTAACAGACGTTTGCCTTACACTCGGTGTGGTTGCACATACACCCAAGTTAAGCTACAACAATTATCGAGCTAAAAACCAGACTGAGCCTTCATCCTTGTTTACATGTTTGTCACAAAAATTAATTATTGAATGAAGTGCATTTGACTTCAGGACAGTAGGTGGAGAAATGAGCATGTTCAGATCTTCCACAACAGTATATATTGTCCATACTTTGATGGTATTAAATTGTGGCAACAATATTATCAGAAAAATGCTTCTGCGATCTCATCGCCTCAGGAGGGAGGAGTGCCTGGGCTAGTCATAGCTTGGCTAAGCTGGGATGCACAGACGTTTGCCTTTCTAATCATATTATTTGGATGCCCTTTGATTAGGGATAGTCCATTTTGGTTCGATTTGCGTCGGACTAAGGCAATAATCCGGTTTTCTTGACACTGCATGTAAACGCAGAGTCACTCCTCGTTCCCTTTCTGCTGAACTTGGTTCTCACCACCTCGTTTTTCCCTCCAGTGTTTCCTGCAGGAATTCTGCAGCCGCCTTTCTTCAGTAAACATCAACAACAGGCCCTTAACTTTGGAGGTATAGGAATGGTCATTGGACATGAGATCACACATGGATTTGATGACAATGGTGAGACATGTGCTCACTAATCGTCTATGTTTTTAGGAACCTAAGCTGCTCATTTGTTTTCCTCATCTGGTGGTTACTTATTTCACATTCGTTGTTAGTAATTTTCAGACACATCATGAATAAAAAATGTGTGTTTCTACAGGGCGTAACTTCGACAAGGATGGTAACATGCTAAACTGGTGGAGTAATTACTCAGCCGAGCACTTTAAAGAGCAGTCACAGTGTATGGTGCAACAATATGGCGACTTCGTCTGGAAACTCGCAGGTGGACAAAATGTAAGGACCTGTTTGTGGCAGATTTTGGTTTATACTTTAATGCCCTATCACTCCACCAACAGAATGTGTTTTCATTCCATTGTGTGTTGATGGGTTTATTTGCCTGATTGCAGGTCAGTGGAATCAGTACTTTGGGGGAGAATATTGCAGACAATGGAGGGGTTCGTCAGGCATATAAAGTAAGATCTTAGCTGTTTACCTATTTTGGGAGCGATGAGTAACTCATGAATGCCCATAATTAGATGTTTATCTGTGAGCTGTTTTTTAAAGTAAAGGTGTGTTCACAGGCTTACCTACAGTGGGTGGACATGGAGGGGGAGGAACTTCAGCTACCTGGTCTGGACATGGATCACAAACAACTGTTTTTTCTAAACTTTGCCCAAGTAAATGTGGAAAGAACATATTTTTATGAGCTTTAATGAGTTTTACAACTTTACTGATGCATATATATTGTTTCTAGGTGTGGTGTGGTGCTTATCGACCTGAGTACGCCAGCCAGTCTATCAAAACTGACTCACATAGTCCTTTAGAATACAGGTACGTTATGTCAGCGTGAACCTACATCCATACATCGTCATAACCTTAAATGTCTCAAATGTTTAATCATTATTTTACAAAGAGTATTTTATTCCCCAGCTAATTATAAAGGAACCATTTAATGTCTCAACGTTCATTAAAACATTTTTCCCTTATGCTTTTTTATTTTAACTGAGTCAAAAGTTAGTTTGACAAATCACTTTCACACTAATCCTGGGACGCCTTTATCCGGTCTCAATGGGATTTATGAATGGATCGATTCTAATTCAAATATTTTTCTTTATTTTTCTGTACACATCTTAGATAGTGAGGCAAAAATGTACAGATCTTTAAGCTTTTAGTTTCTCCATTAAGGCCCAGTTCACAAGGCAAGATAATTATGCTAATTTTTGACCCAATTCATCCTCCCAACAATCTTAAGGACGTCCCAATTACAGTGATGACTCTAAAGTTAATCTTATCAGATATCCATGCCATGTGTGGTGTGCTAAGAGGGCTCAGGTCTGCTCTGAAGGATGTCAGGATGATTTTGATTAAAAATCTGCAATTTTCAACATGTTGGATTGTCTTGGCCAGTGTTTATGGTGCATGCCGAGGACAAATGAGCGTACTTACAGTTGAATGTGACATGTAACCAATCAGAAAGCAAGGTGAATGTAGCGTAGCATGCTGCCTGGGGCGAGGAGAATCCTCCTCGTCCTCCTTCGCTATGTCTGTTTACTCCATAATCATGTTTGATCCTGAGAGGTTTTGTGGGTTATTTCATGAAAATGCGAGGTGTTGGCTTTGCAAAATGGCTGCACAACACACCGTAAGGCCACAGCTGTCCAGACATACAGTTTTTGCCATGTTTAACGCACCTTCTGTCATCTTGGAAGAAGGATTTGAAGCTCGCTAAACTAATCTTCTCCTCTTCTGTGTGTCTCGTTCAATTATGTCAATTTGGTGACATGATCATTTGTAGCCCGCTACGTCTTTTCACACAAAGCATTAAGTCACCTTTGCCTCCATTGGAAAATAAGCACTTTTGTTGGCATCAAAATGTGCTTTTAAAATTCACAGACATCGTGTGTGAAATCAATGGCACAAATAAAACGGGATCAAAAAATACCATATCTGCTCTTAAACTCCCATTCATTTTTATCGACCCCCCATGGTCCGGAAGTAGATGGGCGTGACTTGGGCTCCCTATTGGTATCCCTGTGATGCTTTAGAAGTTATTGTCCTCGCTGATATTGTTTCCCTCTCATGTCCCCAGGGTCCTTGGATCGCTCCAGAACTTTGAAGCTTTCTCAGAAGCTTTTCAGTGCCCAAAGGGCAGTCTGATGAATCCTGAGCAGAAGTGTCGTGTCTGGTAGATCTTCTTCTTTTAAAAATGGGCAATTCTAATCAAATAGATGTTCCTTTGTAAATCCAGAGATATCTTGCTGAGATATTTGGTGCAGGGTGATGACACAAACCTTCACATTCACTGTTGATAGCAACTGGAACTCATCTACAAGTCATCTCATGACTTTTATGACATTTTTGTCCAACAACGGACAAAGACGTGGGAACAAATGAAAATCTTGAGGGAAAATTAAAGCGACATGTCTGGCTCTAAATGCTTTTCTAGCCTTTGACTAGACATTAAGAAAACCTCTTTCGTAAATGTTTGAGATTTATCTGCCGATCCGCTCTGCTTGGGTTTATTTGAAACTGTAGTCACTCCAGAAGGAAAACTAGAGAACTAAATAAAACTCTTAGTGTTGAATATAAAATAAATAAGGGGATCTTCACTGAAATCAAGCTACACTGAATTAGTCACACTCTGTTGTGTTAAAGTAAATTACCTGATGACTTTAAGACTGTTAAATCTTTGCAGCTTTAAGCTTGAATTGACATTCATAGAGAGACGTGACTTTCCATATTTTTACACTAACCGAGGTAGGAAATATTCAACATTTACAAAGCTGTGATTGGCTTTTGCGTTCTTTCAAAGGTTGTTTCTTTACCATTTTCTGTGAATGATTGTTATTCAATATGAGCTGCAGAATTCGGCACGTTCTCATGAAAATTCATTGTTAGAAAAATTGGTTTTGTAGAGTTTCGTTGTCCAGCCCCTGCTAAAGGCAGAGTCATGTGTTTTCGTCAGCTGGATTGATGCTTTCTCTTTTTTGACACAGTTTTCAAATGGGGCTGAGCAACCAGAGAATCGGACCACGATTATGACATGTATGGTTTTAAATTGTTCAAATTGTGTTTAATTGGTTGGGGGAAAAAAACCTCTTTTCATTCCTATCGGGTCCATTGTTAGAAAACTCAAAGTTGACATGAATTTTAGTTTCAAGCCAATTAAATGCAAGGAAATAGAAGCCTGTTCAGTACGCTTGTACATCGGAAAGGAGAGGCTAATGAAGATCTTTCCCTTATGATCTTGCACTGATCAGTGATCTGTAAGATAAAAGGTTCGGAAAAAATAAAAAAGATAAAAGGTTTGGTGCGGAGAGCTGAAGTGAGGTTACCGCTGTAGCTAATCCACAAGCCCACGGGCAGAAATACTGGAGTTTGCTCTCATGAACCAGATGACTTGGGCCAGGACTTTACTTACAACCTTAACAGGTGCTGGGAGAATCAAAGCAGAGCGGACCTCTTAAGAGCAGGTAGGAGATGCTGATTGAGGAGGGCAGAGAAATCCTAACGGACAGCTGATTTGAATATTTATGCCTTGGTAAACTGAACACGACTGTTAGGTCTCAACAGAGGCTGCTTAACCGAATGTGTATGATGCTCTTTAGCCTGTCTCTTAGTCTTCACCTTTTGGCAAGTACTGTTGTGAAATGCACGATGACATTAAAACTGTTTTCCCCGTAAAATAGGAGCTGATAGTTTGCCTCAGTCGTAAACATACGTTTGACATTTGGGAAATACACTCCAATAATAGAAAGTAATGTTAGAAAAGAGACTCTCAAGCTGTCAAACATGTCGGATAACTCATTTTATCTGAATTTACTAAATAAAAAGGTTAAAAAAAATTTAAAAAACAGGCTTACTAGAGGGAACTATTAGGACATGTGTTTGTTTTTTTATTTACTAGCCTTGTGACGGTCGATGCTTATATTGAAAAAAATAGAAATGAATGAATAACTGTTCTCCATGTTCTCCAGTCAGATGATGTTCTTCAGGGTTCTCCAGACCCAGTCGTTTTATTACTGTGTTTTATTGTGACGGCAATAATTCCCAGCGGCTGACATTTTACAGTGTGCAAATGCAAACAAAATAGAAGTTAATATATATATTTTTTTCATTTGATATTTATCAGTGGATAATTAAGCACATGATTATGCACTTAATTATTCACCCAATAAATCTCAGAAAGTAATCATTGGATGTGCATCTGCAGCTGATTAGCCTTTGTTGTGAGATTGATTAAAGATGGCCGTCACAGCAACGACACGTTAGCGGACGCATAAATTATTGTGACTCAGTCAATTTCACAGATATGGAGCTTACATTTGGTGACTGTAGCTGGCAGTCGTTCATAACACATACCTCAGATACAAACAATTTACTTGATGTCCTGCTGAGTTGTGTGAAATCATATGTCGTTTTTTAAGATTTGTCATAAAAATGATCTCAAGCTGTGTTTTTACAATACGAGTCCTGGGAAATTTCTGGGAGGGGAAGGGTTACAAATTCAAAGTCAACTTAAACACACTTAAGTAATCCCAGAGGGAAATTAAGTAAATTAGTTAATTAGGTTACAGAAAAAATCTGATGGCTCTGAATTCTCAGTCGGTGTGTCTCCATACCAAATCGACCCTTTCAAGACTTTGTGTTCAGCATATCGCAACTGATTTGGCAATGAGTGATGTCACTGATCAGCACCAAAAGGTGTCAACGAAAGTGGAGTACTTTGAAAGTTTTATTTTGTTAAAGCAGACCATAATTTAATCCACCCGTGGGACCAGGAGAGTTGCTCACCTTTTTTTAAACCAAAGAACTGCATCTGTTGTGCCAATTGTGTAATACAGACAATAACAATATGTTATAAATATTATAAATAAGCATTAGCGTTGCACTCAGCACTATAGAGATCAAACCAAATAAAGGTGTTATTCTTATAAATGGCTCACTGAGCCATAATTCACATGTGTAGCTAATCTGGTTAAATTGGAGGAAGTTAAAAACTCACAAATTTAAATAAATCTAAACAGGAATGTATTTGTGCATAAGACCTTTAATGCATACCTGAATCACGTAACATCAACAGCTTAGCTTAGCTGTGAGGCAGCTGACGTCTTCTTTTTTCTGTTTTTGTTATCTTTAATGTGGGGTGTTGTCATTTTTGCATGGTACCATTACCTAGGGCAGCATACGTGTATGGTTTGTTACAACATATGACCTAACAAATCATCTGGAGTTCTGTTGCTCAACACCACTGGTGACCTACTGTATATACAGGCAATGCCTCGCCCCGTTTAGCCTTTGAGCTTCTCACCTTCATCCACTGGTTCCACTAAACGCTACTTTGATCTGACGGATTGAAGTTGGTCTGCGTTTGCGGACAGATGCTCAAACCATTATTTTCAAGCTTCTGCTCAATTTCAGATACAGGAAAACTTCTTGGATAATTTAGGACTTAGATTTTGGCAGCAGGCAGGCAAAAATAATGATGAAACCTCGTAAAACACGGTCATGGTAAAGACACTATCTGGTAAGTGCAGGAAATCAAAACACACTGAGGTCAGCTAAAATAGCTCGTAAGACAATTTGACATGAAAGTTTTTTTGAGTAAAACCAACAGGTCATTGTTGCAAGACCTGAAAAAAAAAAACTGAAATGTTAGACGTATTTCACACAGTCGGACAATACAGGTGTTTTATCAAGGGCTGCATTCCATTTAGAAGTTCAGCTCACACGCATTTTTACAGAACAACCAGCATGATGAGCTGCAGAAGTGGAATGCAGCCTTTCTTGCAAGCATACATGTGTGCTGTCATTTCCTTGTATTCAGCCTTTGTGCTAAGCTAGTCTACAAGTTAAGCTACCAGCTAAATGAGCTCTTTCCTGTGAACAAAGAAGAGTATTTCCCAAAAGGGTCAAACTGTGTGAACACACCTTTATGGTGACTGGAGATGAGAACCACTGGAAGTTAAGATGTAAATCAAAATGCAATATTGAGCATCACTTTATAGCCTCTTGTAACACTGCAGCTGTTGTTAACTGAACACAAAAGTTATACAAAAATAAAATGTGTGATTGTATATTGTGCAGAAAATTTGGTAGAAAAAAAATCAGGTAGGAAAATGCGCTTACCTTAGTCACATTTATTTCAATTGTGAAACTGTGTTGTTCTAAAGTTACCAAACAACTAACAAACTTTTTTATATATATTTACTTAACATGATTCACCTGTAAACACACCAGAAGAGTTTATTTAAATAAAAATGTATCAAGTAAAAATGTTGCTTTGTGAGAATTCACATGTTAAAGATGTTTCTATGAATGTTCCTGCTGCTATGTAATTATCTAGACTGCTATTTTTGTGACTCAGATCTGTAATTATTGCTATTAAAGTGACTGTCTGGACCGGTGTGATTTCAAGACTCTGCTTTTAAAGTGCTTTGGAGAATGGCCTGTATTTGATATGGCGCCTTCTACGGTCCTGGAAGCCCCCAAAGTGCTTTACAGCACAATCAGTCATTCACACCCTGGTGGGGATGAGCTACATTGTAGCCACAGCTGCCCTGGGGCACACTGACAAGAGGTAAGACTGCTGTACACTGGTGCCACCGGTCCCCCCGACCACAACTAGCAGACAAGGGGGGCCAAGTGTCTTGCCCAAGGACACAGCGACAAACTGAGCGGGGCTCAAACCTGCAACCTTCCGATTACAGGGCAAGCCACCGTCACCTATCTTTTCAGAATTAACAAAACACCTATAAGATGGTGCAGCTATGCATGTGTTATAGAACTTTCCTTTATTTTCTTTTTTGTATTTTAGTTTAGATGATTTTCTTTAAATGTAAAAGCTTCGAGATGCACCAATTTTATGCACTTTATGTTGTCTTAGATGAGGGTTAGGGTAAGTAGCTTTAACTTTACATATTTATATTGTGCATAAAAATAAAGTAGCTGCAGATGCAACTGGAGTTTGAGAAATTTTTATTGATCAAAATGACAAAATAAACAATGATTAAATCTTCATTTTAAAGGAACACTAAAAAAAACTTTTATTTTTTTTTATTATTTCTGGTTATAATCAGTCACTGAGTTTTTCATCCAGGCTGAACATGAAAACAGTCTCCTACACCTATCTCCTGCATTAGCTTCTGAATAAATGATGAAACTCTAGGATTTATAATGCGTGACAGATCTACGTCACACTGTCACTTAACATTCATGGACTCACCCACCTCGACTCACAACAGGGAAGGCTGTTGTTGGTTTAGCGTCCAGGAAACAGCAGAGAAGTCTTGGCTAGCAGAAGCTAATCGTTAGCATTAGCAATTCCACCACACAGCAGAACTCCTTCGGGCTTGTGTTACGAGTACGACTTACAAGGCATTCATTTCCACTAAAGGATCACTGCAAATGTATTGATTAAACAAGTGTTTAACACCTTTAAAGAGTTTCACATATTTCCACTTTCACTTAATCTTGCTGGCAGGAGCATTGCAGGTAGAACCGGCAGTTTCTTCATTATCGTGTGCAAACGTCATCGTTGCACTGCAAAAGATTAAACAAGAAATACACAAATAAAGATTAATAATCTAATACCACCCATCAAATGCTACACAAGCATTAGGCATTAACCTGCACAAGGAAAAAAACATGATTGTTCTCTGCTTAAAAAAGGGGGTTTATAGATATATGGGACATTTATGGGAAAGGATGTGTGTATCAATTCAGAGAACAAAAAAATGTATAATAATTTACTGAAGGATTTCATTTGCATTTTGGTATTTATAAATATTTATTATCTGTTGTTTCAAGTCTTTGTTCTTACATTTAATGGAAATTATTAAAGTTATTTGATCTTTCTTTTAAAGACTTTTTGTTTGCACAGTGAATAGTTTGCAGGTGGGGCAAATTTTTGATAATAAAAAGTTCTCCAAAGTCAAGAAATCACCCAGTTTCTATTCCCGCTTATACACGCAGGGTCGCGGGGGGCTGGTGCCTTTTATTTGTTTAATTTTTTTTAGTTCCACACCTTTAATGATCCAATACGTTTAAAATGTTGCAGGTTGAAATTTAATGGTTAAGAAACTTGGTTTTTTTTTTTTCAGATGTAAGATGTGATAATAGTCATAACTTAAATTTTTGGGATAAAACTCCATCTGCATGATGAAAAAGCTGAATCACACCATAGGTCACTCCCCCAGCATATCTAGTTTAAAGGTCTTTCCACCTCTGGACACAAACAAGTGAGTTTCTGATTCAGTAAACAGCAGCAGCAACTGTTTCTTCACTCCTGAATGTATATTAACCCAATACTCTCAGCTTTTGTTGACGTCATTATATTTTTTCTCCCCTAAACCCAAGTCTGCATGTGACTTGTTCCTAACGACTTAGGACCCGTCAGAGAAAACAAGGGCTACTCTGTTTGCAGGCTGCAGGGATGACATCTGTTAGTCGTCAGACAGACGGGTCATGGGGTCACGCCACAACAGCGCCGACACGCTGGCTTTAGAGGGCAACAAACAACAAAACCAGAAGAAAAATTTGTACAACAGCATGTGCTGAAAACAAAAAATATTTATCTGACGATTAAAGGAAAAGACTCCAAATTTGGATGTTAGCTCACTAATGTAGGAGTGATTTGTTTTCACAATCCAACTGTTTTGATGCATAGAAAAAACATGTTTTCTTTCTTTCTTTCTTGTCTCAAAAACAAATGAACAACAGAGCTCATCAGGTTGAAAAGGTTTCTAAAACCTTTGATACAGACTCTGATGAACCATGAAGATAGTGAAACAAGTGTGAAATAGACTGTAGAGAGACCGGTCTGCTGCACGTGTCCCTTCTGGGTCGTTTTTGAGAAAAAACAAACAAACAAAAAAAAAGCCCAATATCTGGTAGGACACAAACAGACAAAAATAATACAGTCTGATCCTTTATTACACAGAAAAACGAGCATTCAGAAGACTCTGACTAAAATTACATTATTCTGAGGGAAAAGTCTTACCACTGGTTTTTGACCTGCTTTCACCGAGGAGGAGAGGCCCAAAGCTGTGGAAATGTCCTCCAGAGGGACAAAGTCTCCAGGTGAGTCTTGGATGAAGTGTAGTAAGACTTTTTCTCCACCTTTATAGAGAAAAGGAATAGAAAAAAATGGTTTCCGACGTTGTATCAAGCAGCAATTATTCCAAATAAACCCACAAAAACACAGAACGCAGTCTAACTAAACATGCATAAGGGTGTGTGTGTGTGTGTGTGTGTGTGTGTGTGTGTGTGTGTGTGTGTGTGTGTGTGTGTGTGTGTGTGTGTGTGTGTGTGTGTGTGTATATAAGGGGGGGCTCAGTGAACATTCTGCAAAGACGGTTAATTGAAGAGACGCAGGACTTTTTTTTAAATGAAGGACAAAATGTCCTACAGCAAAATTACAGAGAATAAGAACACATTTAGTCATCAACTAAGAGCTCCTGTCACCTTTTTCCATATTTCTGGACCATGACTTTGTCTGACACAAAAGTTATGTCACCAAAAACACAAAATTATGTTTTAACCCTTCTTAGTTTTTCCATAAATGATTCCAAACACTTTCTAAGCTATGAAATCCCTTTGTTGTTTCACAATTACAGACGTATGTAAAGTTTATGTAATGTTTAAGATAAAAACAATTTTAGAAATTTGGGAAAATCAACCTTTAAACTGGTCTGAACAGAAGTAATAAAGATAGTGCAGTCAGCATCCTTGATGAGTGGTTCTAAATGAGGATTACTGCCAAACAAAAACATTGTGCAACACTGCCCTCTACAGGGTGAACTTTAGAAACGCATTATTTTTCTGGACCTTTTCAGAACTAAACTCTATGGCAGGGGCATGCAACTGCAGGTCTGGAGAGCCAGTATCCAGCACGTTTTAGTTTTAATCCTGTTAAAACACACCTGATTTCAATCAGCAGGTGATTAACAGGCTTCTGCAGAGCCTGATGAGCTGACGCACAGTCATTAAACCACTGAATCAAGTGTGTTGGAGCAGAGAAACCAAACGTGCTGCATACCAACCCTAACACCCCCTAGTGGTGACTTTACCTTTAGCTACAATGAGCATCCCTCCACTCTGGAGCAGATCTCCAGAGAAGTTCCCCTGAATTCCTGCCGCACTTGCCTGGAAGCAGCAGGAGATGACAGTTAGAGAAGACCTACATCCAAATCTATCAGAAACTTGGAAGCTGACAGTGGTCTCTATGTAGATAAGAAACCCAGGTAATGGACATAATGAAAGTTTGCATTTGGGAAGATTTCTTTGAAATTGATTACAAAACAGATTTAGTTAGAATACAACTGTTACAACCTTAATGTGGTAAGTGGTTGTGGAAGGAAGGGTAACATAAGAACTGGAGAGAGAAAAAGGTGTGGTTAGGTAAAACAGTGTTTTTATTAAAGGGAGAACACAAATACTCTGTCCTGGACGGGGAAATAACGGGGACAACTAACGTTCTAAACTAAAAGTGCACGGAGGACGAAGGGGAAAGAACTCAAAACACCTGAGGCCAAAAGGGCCTCAGGGAGAACACAACTAAGTTTACACAAAGCCGGAGCTACACAAAATCTAAAGGAGGATATCCTTCTTCCATCTCAAGAACATTGCAAAGCTGAGTCCCATTCTGTCCCGCTTGGAACTTGAGACAGTTATCCACACCTTCATCTCCTCACGCTTACCCCTCCTTTCCACCGGAGCAGTCAGCAGCACGTTACTGCAGCAGCACGTCTTGCTTGCGTAAGCTGCTGCTTGGCCCTTCCCACCAGAGACACGTAGCAGCAGGGGAGCAGCTGTCACCGACAGAGCACGAAGTCACACGAGTGACTTCGTCAGTAAACACAACAACAAGCAGGAGAAAACTACAACATGGCTCCAAAAGGTTTGTGTTTTATGTTCTGTCTATTTTATAATCGCCAATACGGACCTGAAAAACAAAGGAGACCGCTAGCTAGGTGATAACTTCTCACGGGGCCGCACAGTTAGTAACTTTTTTTAAAGTAAAGCAACCGGAAGGCAGTACGTTTCTTTATTCTGAAAATCTCGGGTAGCTTTGCTCTGTTTCCGCGTCCGATTTCCTGTCTTCCCTTCCCCAAAAATGTCGAACTTGACCCGTTTCAGAGGCGTAACGCGTAGAAAATAGAACCGGCGCGTAAGGGCCGTGACATGCTGCTCCTGAGATGCGGCCGACTCTCGCTGCTGACGGCTCCGGTGGAAAAGGTTCTGTTGACCACAGCGGTTCCTATCAGCAGCTATGACGTGCTGCTGACGGCTCAAGTGGAAAGAAGGGGTTAGACTACTGTAACTCTCTTTTCACGTGTCTGAGCAGAACCTCCCTGAACCGTCTACAGGTGGTTCAGAATGCCTGTGCTCGGCTTCTGACCAAGTCCTCCAAACACACCCACATCACCCCGCTTCTCCTCCAGCTTCACTGGCTGCCAGTCAACTTCAGGGTTCATTTCAAGATCCTGGTTCTGGTCTATAGGGCCTTACATGGACAAGCACCATATTACATTGGTGATCTTCTTAGTCCCTACACCCCCAGCAGGTCCCTGAGGTCCAGTGATCAAAGCCTACTGGTTGTGCAGCACACCAGGCTAAAGACCAAAGGTGACAGATCATTTGCTGCTGTGGCCCCCAGACTCTGGATCTCTCTCCCCCTGAGCCTGAGATCAGTGGACTCAGTGGTCTCCTTTAAAAAGCAGCTGAAAACTCACCTGTTCAGGCTGGCTTTTGTATGACCTTCTTCACCACTCTCTCTTTATTCTGCTCTCCCCACCTATTCCACCTTCCTCAGGATCCAGCTAAATTGTGTTAAATCCACTCAAAGAAAAACGAGCTCTACAGCTGAAACTAGAATCAAATAATAAAGATGGCTTTCAAACGCCGACTACAATAACTGAAAATCAAGCTCTATGAGCAGACCAAAACGCACAACTAAGAAACACCAAGAAAATGGATGTTTAACAAAAGGATTTAAACCAAATATACAAAGCCCTATAGCCGATCAACCATTTGTTATTATTTGTCATCGAGGACCGAGGAGATTAAAAAACTGCTTTGTCGGTGGAAGTTTTCTCTCAGAAGTCTAGCAGCTGCTTTTAAGTCATCAGCTCTCGTTAGCTGATGACTTGCAGCTGAGGCACAGAAGGTAGGCAGAGGTGGAGGCCAGCCTGGCTGAGGACCTGTCCGAGGTCCTGAAATCCACAAAAGGGAGCGGCGCTGGGCTTGCACAAGGAGCGGGAGTCCAGCATCCATAACAACAACACTCTAAAACTGAGGAATGCATGAAAACAGAAATGTTTTGATTCAGAATGTTGAGCGTTTAGGAATAAAATAATCTTATGTAGCCTCCAGGAATGGTCAGTTTTTCACCTACAGTTTGACCTCTTCAGTATCTGGTCATATGGGGACATATGTCTTAACTGGCGCCTTTAATCTGCAAGAAAGATACTGTTGCTTGACCAAGGTCTCTCTCCAGCTTCCTCTTATCTAAGACTGCTTTGCTTCACAGAACAAGAAGGATGAACTTTCATAATTAAATCATATAATGAAATGAACAATATGGTTAAATGAAATGTTTTGAATAATCTGTGCTTAAATTACTGAAGTTGAAATGAATATTACTATTACATTGGAAGATTAATAAGGATGAAATTAAATATATGGGTCATATATTTCATCAGCGTACTGACTGGACAAGACACACTCAACATATCTCCATGAAGCAAGTTAAGTTAACGTCACTGCACAGATATTATCTTATCCCCAAAATCAGCATCTTTATGTCTGAGGGAGGTGTGTATCTGAGGTTGTTGACAAAACCCATTTAAATGGCAAGTTCTGATTGATCAATAAACCAAGATTTGGCCATTATTTAAACAGAATCACTTCCTGAGTGATTCAGTTGAGCCCAACTCTGTCTGGCCATCGGAGGAGGCCTCTTCTCCCACCGCATCTTTTGACAAGCTGTCAAAACCTGTTGCACGCTGCAGCTGACCACAAACGTTTCCTTCAGAATAAAGCTGAACCAGCTCCGACTCTTTAAGAGTCCTCCATAGACGCAAATAACTACCTGTCGTGACCTGCAGACATCTCGAGACGGTCTAGTGGCACTGCGGTTTCTTCTACAGACTTCGGTACCTTTGGGGTCCCCCGGACTTCAACACATTCCGGATCTACCACGGGGGTCTTCGAAAGGGTACGTAGACTCGACAGATTGCATCTGATGTGGTCTTCTAAACCATCAACTTATAGTTTATAGCAGACCAAATTCACTCCCACTGAGAACTCAAGTTTCTCCGGATACGAAGGTTCTGATAACATCACATTCACACATCATCACACCTCACATTCCATCCGCTTAGATTCATTCATCGCATGAAGTTTTTCCTAGTTGTCACATTTTTAATTGTTTAGAAAATAAATGTCTTACTTTTATAAACTTGACTCTCTGAATTAATACAAAGTGTCTTACGATCCTTGAATAAACAAAGAATTCTAATTTTTCTGGTTAAACATTCAAAGATCAATCAGGTTGATATTTCTATATTTATATAGAAATCATCAAATCTTATTGATTGTAATTAAACCTCAAAAGACATCCGTAGTCAACCACTACACATGCATTTGTCTACCTTTGAAGCTACGTCTCAAACTTTTTTCCCCAGAGCTGCAGGAACCACACTTAAGGCTGAGTACCTGAGAAGGAAAAAGCAAAAATAAAATACAGTTATTACAAGTTATTAGTTACTGCCTACAGTTAAAACTCTAAACTAAAAAACATGAACTAATTACATTTGACAAACCCAATGAATTCATGTCTGACTAAAAAAAATGCATTGTTTAAACTGCTGCCCCTCTACATGATGTAAACACAAATTTAACACACTCACCGTCTGAAACCCAAATCCTTGTAACACTTCTTCTCCTCGTCCACATAAATGGCTAAAAAAAGACAATCAACGATGATTATTTTGACTATTATAACAGCGAGGGAATTTGAAATTCAATGGTGATATTTTCTGTGGACCAGGAGGAATAAAATCATTTCAGTTTTGTTTTTATTATAGAGTTGGATTATACACTCTAATCAGATTTTCTAAATGCATTTTAGAAGCATTAAAACATCAATTTTAATGCTTTGGTTGCATTTTTCATAGCACTGAGGAGTTATAGCTGCATAAGATGAGTCGGTGCTGCTTACTTCCTTTAAAGAATCCTCCTTCTGTAAACTCCTGCAGCCCAAACTGCTCTGGTCCCACTCCCACCAGCGAGACCCCACTGGCTCTGAGGTCAGGCTCCAGTTTGCTGATCTCTGCTGCTGTCCATCGACACACTTGACAGCCAAACCTGCGCAGGAAGAACACCACCACTGGCTGATCCTGCCACAGAGACTTCAGCTCCACCTTCTGCAACAAAATCAACAAACGAATAAGCAAAACAACACACGCGATCACCTGGAAAGGTGAGAAGAATAATGTGGATGATCTGATTTAATATATTCCCTTAAAAGCCTCGACGACGTGACTGATGGTCATGAGTTTCCCTTCAAATGACGTCAATGATTATGTCAGCTGTTACATATGCACACACAAAACAGGTTTAGCTATGGGTGTTTGTGCACAAACTTTGTTACCAAACAGTACAGCCTCATTGCAAAATAATAACATTAAATGCTAAAAAAAAACGAAACGGAAGATATTCATCAGACAGGCGAGAAAAGCAGTCGTGTAGCCTGAACCTACCTCACCACTGTCGGCACTTTTCAACAAGTTCTTTCCAACCTTATCCAGGTCGACTTTAGCCATTTTCTAAAGACTGAGGACTTTTACACGACACTAGTAGGTCAAACCCGCGTGAGACGCAGAATGTGTGATTGTAAGTATTCCTCCTCACACCCACTTTAGCGCATCTGTTGCAAAACAACCAGTTCCGTAAACGCCCACTGAACTAATCAGAATCGGCTACCCCTGACAATGTAACCAATCAGAAAGCCTGTTTCAAATCTAGGGCGGGGCTTAGTAAGGGCAGTGTCTCGCGCGTGCTCACTTTAGTGGATTGTAAATTATGAAGTTCCATCTAAATAAAACAGTTTCCCCTTAAAGATACCGGCCCACACGACTAACCTGACTAATCATAACTAAATTCTTGCCTGAATAATTTGAAATAGTTGTTTTTCCCCCCATAATGCAGGTTTCATAAGGCGTGTCAGAGAGTTCAAAGGTGGTGGATTTTATAACGTGGACTTTGCTTCCCGTTCTCTTGAGTCACACAGATTTTAGTTTATTATCTTCTTAAAAGTTTACTTTAGTAGCTCGCTTTTTAATTCACTGGATGCCCTTTTCCCTGTTTAATATTGATTTGATGATTAAAGAAGGCAGAAAAAAGCCAATCTTTACTAAAACCCATTAGAAATGTTTCTGCAGATGCTTTCATTCCCCCCAATAATACTCAATTTAAGAGAGAGATGTTTGGTACTTCATGCCAGTGGTCAAACCTTTCTGCCTTGAACCACTGATAATGAAAAAGAGACATAATAAACATCTCCATCTTATATTACCAGAGGTGTGACCAAGTCACTGCTTTGCAAGTCACAAGTAAGCCACAATCTTTCCAGTCAAGTCTCGAGTCAAGTCCAAGTCAAAGACAACCAAGTCCAAGTTGATTCGAAAGTCAATGATCTGGAAGTCCAAGTCAAATCCAAGTCCTTAACTTTGAATTTTTAAGTGATAATCAAGTCATCTGTCCAGCTTCAATTTAATAAGAATGATTATAACTAAATTCCAGAAATAAAGCTTCTTAAAGCTTAATTTATTTGCCCAAGCAAGCAGAAATCAACTCAAATGGATTATAAACAAAGAGCTGCTGCATTTAGCAGTACAACATCAAACCCAGAACAAAGAATGATTATGATTTTTGTCCATGTCGTGTCACTTTTGTGCTAAAATATAAAAAATGCTCAAGTCATTATCAAGTCAACAGATGCAAGTCGATTCAAGTCGCAAGTCACTGGCTTTCAAGTCCAAGTCAAGTCATAAGTGTTTATAGATTTTATCAAGTCAAGTCATAAGTTATTGAAATAATAACTCGAGTCCAAATCATGTGACTCAAGTCCACTCCTCCGCATATTACTCTGAAACAGAATGAAATGACCGTTTCCACTAAAAGTAATTCCCCCCCCCCCCCCCCCCCACTCTGACACAGAACTAGTCTGCATGACATATGGCCTAGAGGTCTCATGCATTTGCTTCTAAACTGCTTCTTTCCAGCTCAAGAGAAGAATGAAGAAAGGACTCTCTCCTTTTAATAAATCAAAGAACTTTATTTTTAATAAAGCTAATCAAACAAAGTGTTAGTCAATAATAAGATGTGACCAATCTGTGAAATCAAAATATTAATTACTTTGTTTCCACTAGGACTAAGAAGTCCTAGTGGAAACATTTAAAGTCATGATACTTATTTTATTCTATAGGATTATATTAAAGTAATATGACTTTAAAAGTTTCCACTAGGACTGATCACACGTAGCACAAGAGACGACACATTGCTTTTACTGGTCCAATCAGAATCTGCCAGATCTGACGGAGGAGTGGTTTTGGTGGTGCTTGGTAAATTTGTCATCTTTTCATTCGACCATAAACCAAAACATCCGAAGTATAAAACTATGCTCACGTCATCTTTAACGCCAGTTCAAAGCGTTCAAGAGAAGTTGTCGGAGTGGCCAATCCGTAAACTCACCTCTTCAGCCGAAAGAACCAATGACAAGCTGGATGAACCTGTTGCCGTTCCACCTGCTGCAATGGTTCCTTTCAGAATAAAAGCTGAACCATCACGACCCCATTTTGGGTCTTGTTGGATGCCGATAAACTGTCATGACCCGGAAGTATCTCAAGACTGGTGGTCGATTGCCGCGGCTGTTCTACAAGCTTTGGCTCCACAAAGGTCAAGCTGGACCTGTACATCTAGACGGGGACTTCCTCTAAGGGTACGTAGGCCGACAGAATGGCGTTGAATGTGTTTATGAATCTCCTAGCCAAAGCTTAACGCAAAGACATCACCTTCACTCCCAGAACTAATCGTTTCTTCAGATTTGCTGGTTCTGAGCAACATTCCACACCACACCATTCTCCGTCTCATTCACCTTAGTTACACCTTATATTTAGTGTTTAAGTTAGTCTAGTTTTAACCCTTTGATGCATAAAGGTCACTACAGTGGACAGGTACTCAAAATTGTTATTTATTTGTTTTTGCTATTAAGCACAGCTGTTGAAGACTTTATTGCATTTGAGCCCCTCCATTTGGACTTCAGTAAGCCAAGCCAACATATTTCATGCTCAGAATGCACGTTGTCCACTGAGATCGACATGTAATAAAATATTTGTAAATTATAAAATTTTACAAAAAAATATTTGTTGAAATTTGTTTCATTCACGCCTAAAGACGAGTGAAAAAAATTGTTTAAAAAATCATGGTTGAAGATTTCATAATTCATGCATCAAAGGGTTAATTTGTTTAGTAATAAATCTTTAAACTTTTAAACTTGACTCTCTCTTCTGTTGTCTCTGAGTTAATACGAAGCTGTTACCTAATCCCTGCAATAAAAAGTTCCAATCTTCTGGTTAAACAGTACCCACAGATCCATAAGACTGATTTCATATCGGCTATGGAATCTTATGTCTTATGGCTCATTAAATAACATTAAAATTAAACCATTACAACTCATACTTATTTATGACAACTTTAACAATTATGGTGAATCTATAAGCTATTGCAAATTAGTTTTCTTTGACGTATGGAGATTATATCATGGGTTTAGTGTTTTGCCAGGGATAAGTCATTTTTGTTAACTAATTCAGTGAATAATTAAAGTTAAAGTCCCATTAGTGATGTGTGTGCGATATTTGTTCTCCACATTTGACCCATCCCCTGGGGAAGCGGTGAGCTGCAGACACAGCCGCGCTCGAGAACCATTTGGTGGTTTAACTACCCAATCCAACCCCTTACTGCTGATTGTTGAGCAGGGAGGCATTGGGTCCCATTTTTTCAAAGTCTTTAGTATGACCCGACCAGGAATCGAACCCTGACCTCCCAGTCTCAGGGAGGACACTCAACCACTAGGCCACTGAGCTAGTAGTCAGTATTTACAATATTTCTTCAACAACAACAACAACAACAAAACAAGACATGGTCTGTGTGATATTGTTTACACTGTTGGAAATTATAGTCTCAGTGCACAAATGCTGCAAATGATCCTTTTAAGAATAAAACAGGAAAACAGTAATAGGATAATTCAAATATATTTATTTTAACAGTCTTGTATGATCGAATAGTAAGCGTGAAACATATTTCAGTGTTCTCTGTGATGACATGTGCAGGTGCTATTTATATAATGGCAGTGGCGGCTCATTCGCAGCTTTATTCCTGGCAGTGGAGAGGAACAACATCATATATGACAGCAATGTCAAACGTGATTCCTTCTCTTTTGTTTGGTGGCGGATTGCGCAAACAAGCCACCTTTGAAGTCTCGAGTTTGTGATCTCGCGAGTCCAGTGAGGAGCACTGCGAGGAAGCCGTTCTTCAGCCAAGACTCTCCTGGTGTGTAATGGACCTCATTGAAGTTCCATGCTGCTGATGTTTCCAGTGTGAAGGAGGTTTTATGCTAGATAACAAAATAAGGACAAAAATTAAATGTGATCAAAGACAAAAATGGCTGTAAAACTGGTTCATAAATGGAAAATTAAGGATTGTTTTGGAATTGTTCTCATTTTCCAACAGATGAATTTAAATTCATATAATAGACTAAAAGGGTGGCTTTAAAATAGCTTTAAGTAAAGATCAGCTCCGTAACTTTAGCTTTCATTCTAATGTTTATGAGTTTTTTCTTGAACAAGTGGCATCACTTATAGCCATATAAAAAGGAAAAAGTATAATTGTGAATAATTCTCAGCGAATTAAAGTAAAGTCGCCCTCTGGGTTGATTTTACCTTTGTCATTTAAAAGGTAGGCAACCTGCAGGTCAGATAATAATGCTATAATTTAATTAGACATAATGAGTTTGCTATAGAGAAGTGGCTCTAAAAAGATGTCAGTGTTTCTGCAGAGACCATTAATATCTATTGCATCTTAATACATTTGGCCATTTCTTTTTAATTGTGAATATGGGAACAGTTTAGTAAACACCTTCCTTTCAGGAAGGTTAAAGCCAAAAACGAAGGAAAACAAATGATCAGAATGAAATCAGTGTGACGCTATTCTGCAGTTTTTATTGTTTCGCAAAATGTTTTCATTAAAAATAAAACAATCACTAGAACAACCAACATGATGATGATGTCAGTAAAACTGCTTCATTCCAGTAATTGTTGGACGAACTGTTTTGTAATGTAATGAAAGTTTATTTTTTTATGTGAGGCAGATTAAATGTCATGAACCTGTGCACATGCTGATGCAAAGATCCGTGGTGCTGATGTTGCAGGGAGGGGCGTGACGTCACGGGAGAGACCGGGAATTGAGGCGAATGGAGAGACGAGACAGGGGAAGGAGGAGAAGGCACACAGGCGAGAGCGGGGGGATGCCTGGATCAAAGGAAAACAAAACAAATACTCATAATAATGATCATTTCAAAAACAGTCATGACTTCAGTAATTGACACGAGGTTATTCGTTCCACTGTTCACAGAACGCTGCAATAAATGACGAGCCGGCCCGCGAAGGTAATTATCGCCCTTTCTGTCGTTCTCTGCACGCCTCCTTCATCCTCTTGTCTTGCCGGGCGTTCACCTTTATGACCTGAATGTCACGTCGAGGAAAAACGTCAGCGGTCGTTAGCAGCAACAGAACGACGCTGCAGGAAAACTGATCTATCTGGATATTTTTCGGATGATCGTTTAAATGCGCGCGACGACCATTGTTGCCGTGTTTTCAGCGGCTCCATTGTGTTTTTCTGCTTCCACATGAAAAATTTAAATGGAAACAGGCGTCATGGGAGCGCTGCATGCCGCATAGTACACTGCTGTAGCCAGCCACGGCAAGCACATGGGCTCTGACTGCGCATTACATGCGCACTGGATGCAGTGCGTCGTGCCCATCAGCCCCGGCAGCTGATCACTGCAGTGTCCTGCACTCTTAAAATTTTCACCGTGAATTCACAATAATTTACTGGATAAATTTTGCCGTACTTTTGCCGTGCTTTCACAGTAAAATACTGTTACATGCACTCACAGCAATTTACTGTAATTTTGTTGCTGTGATATTATAATGTACTGCTGTAAAATCACAATTGTACACTGCAACTTTACAGCTTTAATGACAAAGCATTTACTGTTCTATTACAGTTCATTCCTGGGGAATTACAATCTTTTGCTGTTCATTACAACAAGGCCCTGTACTTTTACAGTATGTACTATTTACAAATTCACAATGATTTACTGTGAATTTACAATGTATGAAAATAAAAATAAAAAATCCAGTAATGTACTGTAATAAGTAATCCAGTAATAAGTAATCCTGAGGTTCCATTAGCTTTAAATGTACTACCGTTGCACAAATACAACCCCGTCGCCAAAGTAAAGTCAGTGTTAATCCAATGGCATATTTATAGAAATTTTATTCAACATATTTTATACAGCCAAGAATTCAAGATTAATCTTTCAAGTTGTAAAATTAAAATGAGGAAAAACACTGAGAAAAGGGAATGAGGCCCTCACAACAACACGAGAGGAAAGGAGACAGTGAAGAAGGGAATGGGGTCAGGCGCTCCTTAGTCTTTAACATTATGGGCAATAGAACAGGAAAACATTTAACGTAAACTTATCTAAAAAAAAAAAACGAACACTGAAGAACTGAGCCTGAGTACTGCTGCAAAAATCTATGATGTCCACTCAAAATCAATGAGCTTCCTAAAAAAAGTGCTCACACGAGGGTTGATTGCTGTTCGCTTCTTGGTCTTTGACCCTCTCTCAGGGTTGATTCCCAGGAAGCACCTGTTAAAAAAGCAAAGATAGTTTCAGTTGATATGAGATTAATGACTCTGGTTCACCCTCCAAAACATTAATTGGTGAAAAATGCATCTTTTTATGTTGAGTGCCACCCGCCAAATAACACACAAGAAAAGGAAGAAGAGTGTTGTTGCACAGTTTTCAAAGGAGTCAAAAACCTCCAGCAAAACCATAAATACAGCAAAATAAACATACAATCCAACATGGCGTCCTCCAGAGAGTCGGACCCTCGCGTGTGTATTTTATACCTGATTTTTATGGTTATTTGTCACAAAGTTGCTGGTATTTTTCAATGAATGGGCTTCATTTGATTCATTTTGCAAAACATTTCAACGTATATTTCCAGAAATTAATGACAAATACTACACACTGTCACTTTAAATGTGATCTTTATAAAATACCTTTGAATGAACTCCAGTGTTAACGATCCAGTGGCAGGATACTCGATGTTGAAGACGTAATAGCAGCTCAACAATGCAGCTACACCATGTAAAAAGAACGGGTGTGGGCCCATCATGACCTGTCCCTCGATGGATATCAGCCATCCAGAGGGCTTCATCATGTCACCTGAAATGAAAAGACTGATATGAGCATTTTTTTCTACTTCAGCTACAAAATTCATCTAGATTTCAAGAATGAAACAAGTTATATCAAGACAGAAATGTCAATATTGGATCAAAGTAATATTACCTTGAATGATCAAGCAGGGGCTGGTGGGAAGTTCTGCAGAACTTATGTCCACGGCAGTGGCACATGGCTGTAACATAATCACACAGCAGCATAGATTTAGGATAGAGTATAAATATTCCTCATTGGTCAAAGTTAATAAATTGTACAGTTGATAATGTAATCATTCAATTTGCATTTTAAATTTTTTAATACAAAATCTTACATCAACTTCAAGCACCAAACATTCTTTTGGCTCTTTGAAGTACAACATTAGGACCAGCAGGATGGAGGCAGCCTTATCAGAGTCTTGAGCGTAGTTGACAATAACTTCATTGATGTTGGGATGGTCCAGTGTTGAACAGTAATCCAGGATGGTCTGTCCTCGTTGACTTATTGCCACCTGTAGTTTCTGAAGGACGTTGATGTCCGTCAAAAGAGCAAAATGTGAGAATAGGCTTTTCTGAGAGAAGAGAAAGGGCCACTCCTCTTTGATGTCAGACATTGCTGCAGCAGGCATTTTGTTAAGGTATTGCCGGAGGATGACATATGTCTTTTCCATCATTGGTTCTGCTCTCTCCGCCCCTTTCATTCCTTCCTCTGTGTATACAGACAATAAAAATGTATTGTTAGTACCAAAGTAACAATTTGGTCTTGTTAGCTGCCGAACACACAGTTTTTAGATCTTGACCAATGAAAAAACTCCAAACAAAATAACCCAAAACAACAGTAGAAAGCCTGCCTGAGTAGATGTTCAGTAGATCCCTCTTCATCTTCATCAACGATGCCTCGGTCTCCCCCTCTGGGAAATCCACTGGGCCCCACCTGACACACCTAAGAAGGGGAATCACAGGGTAACACTACTATTAGGGACAGTTATAGCCCAGAAGTTGGAGCAATGACTAAAGGGTCCGTTTGACTCCCAGTTGTGACTGCATTAACAGACTTATGTCACAGAAGTTATGTTACAGTGTAGAAGTGTTGTAAACACTGATGTTGTTTATCCAAATAAAGCTGCAGTCCACAGTGTTTGTGTATATATTAAAGATACCTAAATCTTTCAAAAGATATTTCTCTTCAAAATTATGATAGTTTTTTTCTACCCCACAACATTCGTTATTCTTCCTAGTTCCTCCTTCCTGCTATTTGAACATTCCTACTGACCGCCAAATTTTTTTGCCAACAGAATTGGAGCTTCCACCTTGTAGGCACGGGTGGCCTAAGTCACGCTCTTCTAAAAATGAGTCAAAGGAACCACTTAGCTGTGATTGGCTAAAGACAAACCATTGTAGCAAGTAGACGGACATTCGAGGGGTCCTCCAATCCGCTCAATGTTTCCTACCAGATGGCCCCCCCTCCTTCCCAACGCTGTTTGCAGCAGAGGTTCCAGATCAAAACGTGGAAACTCGACAAGGGGTGGGGCAACACATACATTTAGCTGCTGCTGGGTTAGCGGTCTTTACAACACTTTTAAAATTGGCTCATGCTTGCTGGAAAAAGGTCTAAGTTAATGTCAATAAAATTTGTTTTGTTCCGTTTCTGGCTTATTCATGGTCATATACAATGCTTTTGATAAAATGTTAACAGATATTACATGTATATTGCCACATACCCGTACTGGTCAACAGGACCTCTCTCTTGTCTGATCTCTCCTGCGATTCCTGTGAAGCGTTTTCTGCGGTGTCGAAGAAGAGTTTTGGTTCTGTTGTGGTACTCCACTCTTGTTTTCACTTGCTGTAGTAGAGAATAGCAGCCATCTCCTGTAGTATCACCATACTTTCCAATGTCAGCAAATGACTTTGGATGTCTCCTAAAAATGTGTGGGATTAATAGACAATTAGAAAGTAAGTAGTCAAGTAGAAAATATTGCACTATTGTTACACAACAGACATTTACAACTCATGTACTTGAAGAACCAAGTTTAACCTTCGTGTATCCTGCCATGCGCTTTAGCACACTTGATATTTCAAGTAAGAAAAAAAAAACAATGTATTCCTTCCAATTTACATTTAAAATTTTCAGAAGGTGCTAATTCTTTCCCTGATCATCCCATCCTTACCTGACAATGTTTCTCACAACGTTGTAGCACATGGCTCTGGATGGGTTTTGGTCGTGCTGCATCATTTGGTCCACAAGCGCAACCACGAAGGCCCTTCTTTCGTCTGGTAATGGTCTTTGTTGTTTTTCCACTCTACGTCGAACAGCTGATGACATCTGGTCCAAGTTGAGATGAAAGTCAACATGCCATGGTACCCCTGGCTGTGAGGCGTGTGGCGTGCTTGGAGGGCTGGACAACAGGTGATTTGGAGACTGGAGTGTTGTGTTTGGGGAACTTGGAGTTTGGGAATTTAGAGCATTTGGATCAGGAGCAGAGACCAACTCCATATTAAGAGTAACAAGTCCTAGAGGGCACAAAGAAAAATTATTTAAAGTGGAACTGAATATGGTGAAAGAAAAACTTAACCCAGCCCCCAGATACAGTTTGATAAATGCTAAAATGTGGGTTGTCCCAGGAGGCACAGAGGGGCGCGTGTTCGCTCTTGGCTGGTAATGCCCTGCCTCGAGTCGCAATCCGCTCTCGGCTGGCGGGAGACGCGCCTCTGTATGACGTCATTCGGCGTTTGTTGGGGTCGTCAGCTGCTCGCCGAATGAAAACGGAGCGTGAACATTCAAGCGGTCGAGACGGAAGTACTGCACAACAAAAAAGCCTAGATGTGAACGCAGCATAACACCATTCTATTGGCCAAGTGTGTCCCACAGATGGCTTTATCCCCAAACCCACAAAACGTTGCTGTTAAACCAGGCCTGTGATGTGTAATGGTACAAATATCATGCAATTGCACCAAAATGCAGTAGCCAATGTTCAAGCCAAAGGGAGAAGCAATTACATTTTTTTAATACAATGTGTATTGTGTACAGCTTGTGTCAAAGTTCAAAAGCCCTAGTTTAGTGACATCAAAGAGTGGAAAGAGGAAATTACCATCCTTGATTCCCTTCATCAACTTCCGACTTTGGATGGGTTTGAGGTATTTCTCCAGATCCTTTTCCTC